GGTGGGGTGGGGAGGGATGGCAGCTCCCTGGTTGGGCTTGAGAGATGCCTTTGCAGCCACCACGCAGCAGGCAGCAGATAGGGTTGTGTGAATATTTGCTTCTTGGGGTCTTCGTGTGTTTCAAGGATGTATTGTCACTCTGCCTGGCTTGCCTAAGTACCTTGCAATTCTGCCCCCACCCCACTCCCCATGAGGTGAGGAGGGGCACGGCCCAAGCAAGTGGATTATTCTACCTGTGGGCTTAGTCACAGCTGAAGGGCAGAGCCATAGGGAATTGCTCACTCCCAGCCGTGAATATATGGGCTTCCCAAAGCTGAGCTGCACCGGGAATCCAGAGAAGCAGTTGTCCCAGCCTGACGGTGTCTGTTTTCCCTGGGGGTTAGGCTCACTTTGGGTTTGGCACTGCAGAATGCTGCTTTGGAATGGCTCAGCCCAAGGTGGCTCGATCTCAGCATTGCCCTTACGTCTGGATGGCATGAGCTGAGAGCATTTGTTCATGCTTAACCAGCCAGGTCTTTCCAGCCTTAAAGGAAGATGTTGGAGCCCTCTCTTCCTCTGCAATTTAGGAGCCGTTGTAGGAAGCAGGGCTCAGTTAACACCCACAATCTTAGCCCAGGAGACCCATGTCAGAGTCTGGCCCCCAGAACTGCAAGAGTTGTTTTAAGCCATCAACAGGAAACTCACACAGATGTTGGTCTGTAAGGATCCACAGAAACGCAGCTTCCCCAAAACAATGAGGAAAAGCCACTGCAGAAAAGCCAGGCCGCTGTTCCTTGTGAGCGAAGGCAAGGGCCACCCCTGGCTGATGGTGATGTGGAGGGTGATGGTGGAGGCTTTTCTTTTGATCAGAGTCTTGATTCTGCTTGAAATCGAAACTTAAACCACATCTTCTATTTGCACATGACTACGACGTGTCCTGAGTAAATCCTGTCAGTCCCACCACCTCCCACCTCCCACCTCCCACCTTCCGTAACTGTAGCCAGTTTACCCCTCCTGCTCCATCTTTGTGGGCTGGAAGTGGAAACCATCATTCGACTGGATTATAACGAAAGTGGCTGTGCATAATGCATTCACACGCCTGCTCCCTACAAAACCTGCCATGACCCAGAATACAGGTATCTGTGCGTTCTCTCTGCGTGTGTGTGTATGTATGCACACACATATATGTCTACACACACACACACCCCTCCCCTTACTCTCTGGATCCTAGGAGTTAGAAAAAAGAAACAGGTTGCATGACTACCTGATCGTTGTGGGACTTGTTCTTTTCAAGGCCAGTTCTGGAAGAGAGTGGGGACCTGGGAGTCTGTTCCAGCCCCTGAGTTTTCTCCTACAGCGATGTCTGTTGTATCCTCTGATGGGAATTTTGACAGGACCCATGTTCCCTTAGGGTCTGCCAGATCCTTCATGATGAAAGATAAATCCCAGAGGGTGGCTCGTCCTTTTCAGGGATGCATGACTGAACCCCAAAGTGATATCTCATTATTATCTGTTCACCTTAAAATCCGATGAGCCTGAGAAACACGGTTTCTGAAAGTTCTCTGTCACTGAGGTTCTGCAGTATTGCAGGCATTGTTACTGACGGGTACTGCTCTGTACACTGTCCAGCCCTGGAAGGTGTGGGGGGGGGCACTTTAAGACATGTGGGGCCCAGCCTAGAGGGCATAATGCCTAGTGTACCTGCCTGGCCTTCCAGGGCTGGAAGCCACACGGTGACTGTGGGTTTGCATCCTGGGTCTATCTGAGAACGCAGCAGGTGTCTGAGATCCTGAAAAGCTGGAGGGCTGGATGAGACCCTGTCTAAGGGTTCACTTTCTCTCTCACCTGCGCATGTGCACACACACGTACTTATCAAAGATCTGTGTGAGTTTCCTATTGATGGCTTAAAACAACTCTTGCAGTTCTCGGGGCCAGAGTCTGAGGCAGGTCCTGGGCTAAGACTGGGGTGTCAGCAGAGCCCTGCTCCCTCCCGGCAGCCCCAGGAAAGAGCCTATTTTATCAGCTTTCTTTGTTTCTCCAGATTGCCTGCATTCCTTGGCTGGTGGCCACTTCTCTTCCCAAAGCCAGCAGTGGCTTAAAATGACACCACAACTGTGGCACATGGATGTACCTAGGTGTTTCTCTGGGGAGAAGATCCACAGCTTTTGGTAGATACTCAGAGGGTCTGTGATCCCCAAAAATGTTAGAATCACTGATGCCTCCCTTCAAATGGCGCTAAGTCACGTGTCACCTGTTAGCACAGAGAATGTCAGAGTGGCCACCAGCCCTTGTGTCTGACCCTCTCCGTTGCACAAGAAGGGATCTGATGGGCTTGCTCTAGGTCAGCACCGGCTCCAGTCAGACCCCGACCTTCATAGGTGTGCCTCCACCATGCCACGGTGTGTAGAAGTTTCTGTAGGCTTCTCTCCTCAGGGCTTTGGGATGTTCAGCCCAAGCTGTTTGTTATGGCTGTACCCAGAAGGCTGGGCTGGCTTCTCTCTGGAACCCACGGAGTGAATTCTCTTCACTGGGTGGCTCTTCACTCCAGAATAAACAATAATCTGAGTTTTCTAAGAGTTTAAAAGTGTAAACAACAACCAAAACCAAAAGCCTGTGCACCCCCTAATGAGGACATATTCAAATGAAACCATCTTCTGGGGCAGTAAGAGGATGTGAAATTATCAGGTGTTTTCCCCAGGCTTAAGCACTTCCAATCCAGCCTCAGCTAGATTTGCCTATGGGATGTAAAGCAGGTGGCTTCTGGGAGGTGGCCTGCCCTGGGCGAGGAAGTGTTGCAGCAGCTCAGAATGCATCTTCTCTCTCTCTCTCTTTTTTTTTTTTTTTTAAGAATTATTTTATGGTACTGGTTACATTGCTGAACTTCACTGTAGTTGACCGTGGTTCAAGTCCCAGGCCAAGTGGCTTAAACTCATGCTGGGTGCATGTGCATATGTGCCCAAAATCCTAAGAGAAGAATGGAGGAGAATGGAGGAGAAGGGATTGCGGTGTGGCCAGCCCCCCTGGGGGTGTGATTTCTAGCTTTCCGTCTTTCTCTCTGTCTCTCTCTGCATCTCTGGTGAGCGTATGCACCCTATAGCAAAAAATATATTTCTCTTACACACAAAAAAGAATTATTTTATTTTATGGGAATAATGGTTATATCACTGGACTCCCACATAGTCAACTGTGGTTAGATTAGCAGACCCAGCGGCTTAAACTCACTCTGGGTGTGTGTGCATGTGTGCCCAAGATTCTGAGAGGAGAATGGAGGAGAAAGTGTGGCCATCCCCCGGGGGTGATTTCTCACTTTCTGTGTCTCCTGTGAGCACATGCACCCTATAACAAAAATCTCTCTCTCAAAAAAAAGAAAAGATTATTTTTTATTATAAAAAAAATAGAGAGAAAATGAAAAAGAAAGCTGCTAGGTCCAAGATTTGAACCACAGTTAACCATGTGGGGAATCAGCACCTTAACCAAGCCACCTGTTAGCCCCAAGAATGCATTTTCCTTCCAAGGCCTCCATGCAGCCATTAACGGCTTTTGATGGATGGAAGCTGCAACTTTTTTTTTTTTAAGAAAAATTGCTGCATATTTTTTCTTAAGGCCACGTGTCTAGTAGCTCAGCCATTTAGCTCAGTGACCAAGCCAATGTCTCTTTCTCTCATAAACACACGCATGCGCGTGTGTGTACATACACACCTGCCTTGAAGGAATGGGGCTCATGCTTGGAAGTCGGTCTCTGGGCCGTAGTCAGTGAGAACTCCCATTTGATGCATGCTGAGGCCTCAGCACCCTGGCAGCAGCAGGACTGGGCCCTGGGCATCCACCCCACAGAGGCCCCTGGAGAAGAGAATGGGGCCCCCCTTGGTCTGTCTGCAGCTGGCAAGTCCTGGGCTCACACTGCTTGGGAGGGGTTCAGTACAAAGGCCTATGGGGTCAGGGTCTTCCATGCTGTCCTTTCCAAGAAAAAGAAGAGCGGAGGGGTTCGAGACTGTTGGAGGTGACACAGGCCATTGGAAAGGGCACTGAGTCCAGAGCTGCACTTAATGCTCTGTGACCTTGGGCAAGTTACTTACTCTCTCTGAACCTTTGGAGAAGAGAAATTCCTTTGTAAGAAAAATGCATTCCTTCTTTGAAGCATTTATGAGATCTTGGATCTTAGCATGTGAGAGAGAAGACGTCATTTCAGGTCATGGTCCAATCTTTTATTCTGGAATAAAGAATCACTGTGAAAAGATGGATCAGGCATCTCTCAGTTTTCACTGGGCTTCTCAGTCGAGATTGAGGTCGAGGTGGTGGGAAAGACCTTCTTCCGAGGCCCTGAATTGCTCTGACCAACGTTAGCCTGGGCCTTCTGCCTCAGTCCGTGCCCATTTCTCCTTCTGTAAGAGGGGGAACCCCCCCTCCAACACAGCCCCACGCTTCCTCTCTCTTCCTCCTGATGAGCTGGGGTG